TGAGCAGTGAAAAAAAAAGCATCTTGAAAGGCATATTGCATCAGAGTACTTTGAAGGTGACTGAAGTTTAAATATGTAAGAATAAACACAATTTTTTAATAAATTAATTCTGGGCTTTTTGGGTCCCCTCCTCATATATATACAACAGTCTTTATCCAGTCAATCGTTGTTGGGCCCTTAGGTTGGTTCCATGATTTTACTAGTGTGTATAGTAACATATATACATACATACATATATATATAGACAGAGAGATATGTATCTCTCTATATATATATGGAAAGATCCTTTTAAAATATACATAAGATCATATTATTTCTCTGCTCAAAATCCTCTAATGGTCTTCCAGTTCAATCAGAGTAAAAACTAACAAGGCCCAAACAATCCAGTTTTCTGTTACTTCTGACAGCTATTTGATTCTCTCACTCATTTGACTCTAGCCATTCTGGCTTTCTAGCAGTTTTTGAAAGAAACATTCTACTGTTATAGAGTATTTTTGCCTCACTGTTTTTTGTTCTTGAATGGTCTTCTCTAGATATTTACAATGACTTACTAATATTTTGTTTTTCTCAAAAGATCTGAAGTTTGAGAAGCCTGACCATTCTATTTAGAATACTATCTTTATCCTACAATTCCTATTTCCTTGTTTTATTTTTCTTCATAGCACTTATGACGTCTGATATCACACTTTATTTGTTGGTTTATTTCCATTAGAAGGCAAATTCCAGGAAGGCGGGGATCACTGACTTGCTAACATCTAGAAAACTATCTGGCACATGGTTAAGTGACTTGGTAAATATTAGAATGTATGAATTAATGAATGCTAGAAAGAGCATAGGATTTGAAGTCAAACTTATTGGACTGAAATTCCTTTTTTTTTTTTTAAAGAGGAAAGTCTTGCTCTATCACCCTGGCTGGAGTGTAGTGGCATGATCATAGCTCACTGCAGCCTTGAGCTCCTCGGCTCAAGTAATCCTCCTGCCTCTCAGCTTCCCAAGTAGCTGAGATTAAATGCATGAACCACTGTACCTGGCTAATATGTATTTTAAATTTTTTGTAGAGATGGAGTTTCTGTATTGCCCAGGTTGTTCTCAAATTCTTGACCTTAAGCAATCCTCCCCACCTTGGCATCCCAAAGTGCAAGAATAAGAGGTGTGAGCCACCTTGCCTGGCCCCAGTCTTTTAATTAGCAGTATTAATTTCAACAATTTACTTCAACAGAGTCTCTGAGACTCAATTTCTGTAAAATAGGAATATACACCTCATGGCAATTCCTATAATTAAATGCAGCATTTATGGAATGCTTGCCATAGATTAAGCATTCAATGTTAATTTGTCCATCTAATCTCTATCCTCCTCCTAAGAAAATCTTAACAGTTCTTTACAGTATTATCAGTTTATTTTTGAGCAATACAACTTATACATTTTCAAAACAGAAATTCACAGAAGTGTAAGTCTGAAGGCATAACACATTTTTTAAAGAACAATTTTTAAGAAAATGACTTATAAGATGATTGTCAATACATACATACTGTAATAGCACAATAGGGGAAATAAATGTAAAGTGTTTACAAATGAATGGAAATGACCCAATAGTACTCAGAATATATATAGCCTTGAATTCTTTAATCAGAAAACAAAAAATATTAACAAAATATGTATGTTTTAAAAAGTAGGGTGAAAAAAAATTAATCCAAAGAATTAAGACAGGAAATAACAATGGTAGAAATTAATGAAATAATTTAAAATGTAGTTGACCGGCTGGGCTCAGTGGCATAGCCTGTAATCCCAGCAATGTGGGAGGTTGAGGCGAGTGGATTGCCTGAGTCTGCGGATTCGAGACCAGCCCAGGCAACTTGGCGAGACCTTGTCTCTGCAATAAATCATAAAAATTAGCCGGGTGTGGTAGCGCGTGCCTGTAGTTTCAGCTACTTGGAAGCTGAAGGGGAAGGATCACCAGAGCCCAGCAGGTCGATGCTGGGATGGCTGTGAGCGTGCCACTGCACTCCAGCCTGGGTTATGGAGTGAGATTCTGATTCAAAAAAAAAAAAAAAGAGTAAAATGTAGTTGACCAACAAATTCAAAGGCTGATTCCTTGCAAATATTAAGAAGATCAATAAATATATGCGTATACTGTCAGAATTAGAAGAGAAGATACAAAAAATAACTCACAGTTCTAACTGTGTGATATTAAATTAGAGTCATTAAACCAGAGCTTGGTGGGCTGAAAGCAACCAGTCATTTTATAAAGTTTTACTGTGCTACAGTCATATTTGTTTATTTATGTATCTATGTATCGTCTATAGCTGCTTTTGTGCTACAATGGCAGAGTTAACAAACTGTGACAGAAATCAGGTGGCCTGCAAAGTCTAAAATATTTACTATCTGGTTCTTTACAAAAAAATGCTTGCTGATGCATTTAACTAAAGGAAACCCAGTATGGAAGTTCTTTTTAAATTGGTTCTATTTCCCTGGGGAATAATAAGAATGACCATCATTTAACAGTGAGATGGGGAGAAGGTTTCAGAAGTTTGAAAAGAAGGCAGTATAAAATAACTATCCAGTGAAAAGGTTAATTTAATGAGTATACCAGAAAAATGAATAGGATTGCCAAACATCAGTAAGCTCCCCACATAATAAAAAGTGGGATGGAAAGATGGACAAGTAAGCATGCTTCTCTCTGAAGGACACTTGTAACCCAAAAGGTGCTTATAATTATTTGGGTTCCAAAGATATAGAAACAGTTTGACTCAGATTAATTAAAAATTAAATACCAATTAACTTTTAAAAAGGCTTACTACTTTCAAGTACACAGAATTAAAATGTGGTTGAAAAAATATATATCTGAGGTTTAAGGAGCTCTTTAAGGGATTTGTTTTAAGAAGAAAAATTATTTGTACTGAGTTGTCTGTTGTAAAAGAATGAATATTCCAGTAATGATAACTGCCTCTTCCTTCATAGTAAAGCACTGTAAGCAGGTCAGATAATCACAGAATAGAAAGTGACTTATGTTCTAGATAAAAGAACCAATTTTAAAACATGAAAAAAATCATATTCATTCTATTTATCCAAATAAATAATTTCACTCATCACAACAAATACTGTCCTACTTATTTTCTTTTTTTTTTTTTTTTTTGAGTTGGAGTCTCACTCTCTAGCCCAGACTGGAGTGCAGTGGCCGCTCCCAGGCACTGCAGCCTCGACCTGTTGGGCTCCAGCGATCCTTCCGCTCAGCCTTCCAAGAAGCTGGAACTACAGGCGCGTGCTACCATGCCCGGCTAATAAAAATTTTATTATTTATTGTAGAGGTGAGGTCTCGCCAAGTTGCCCAGGCAGGTGTCGAATCCGCAGGCTCAGGCAATCCACTCACCTCAGCCTCCCAAAGCGCAGGATTACAGGCTGAGCCACCGAGCCCGGCTTGTCCTACTTATTTTCAATCTGAAATCTAAAAAAAAAAAATCATACTATATCTGTCAAGGGAATAAAAATATATATTCAGAATATGCAGCTTCAATAAACTTTACAGTCTTTCTTTTCCCTGAATAGCTAATCATATTTGAAGTACACTGGGACATATCACCATTTTAAGAAATACTGTGACAAATCATTTTGGAAAGCAAATATTTTATAAATTCACTTTTTCATGGTTTGTCCTAATATTGGAGAGATGATTTGGTATTGTTAGAAGAAAAAAAGTGACCCATCTAGCCAAAGTCAACAGAAGAAATATCATTATCTTTAAGATGCATTGTGGTGAAAAAGACCATCATAAGTAGATAATCTGGCAAGTACATCTGTCATTTTCCTAGAGTGCTTTTTTTCTTAAAAACAAACCAAAAAATCCCCCAAATTTACATTATTAAATGCTTTTTATTTGCCCACGCATTGTGCTGGGAGTGAAACATGATCTGTGTTAAAAGAAGTACTTATTCCCTACCCATATTACAGTTTATTTCTAAGACTTGAACTTGTTTAAATGAGGATATCAGAAAAAATATGTCTTGCTAAATAGCACTTACGTTAAAATGTCAGATGCCAAAGCATGGTGTGACTACTTTCTGGTGATATCTGGTTGAGTATTCTCAGAAAAAGAATGATGATTCAAGTCTCGTTCTTTTGGTATAAGCAAGAGAAGAAACTGCTACTAATTATAGCTCCTTATACTGTTCTTCTTTCCCACAATTCTTTCTGTTTGCTTTATGTTTACCTCTCAAACCACTGTAGATCAACTGCATCTGTTTATGTATGACATTAAGTCAAACAAGACTTAAATGCTATATTCCCTGCTAAATTGGCATGCCCTCTTATTAACTTCTAAAATCTAAATATTATTTTGATTTTTTGAAAAAGAAATCTTGCATTTAGATGAGAAATTATATGCCAAATATATTTCACTTTTATAATATTCCCAAGAATGTTTACGACATACGTTTCCCAAAGTATTTTACCTAAAAAATCCTAATGTACTTTGTACTTTCCACACTATTCCCTAAAGTTCTGCTTTTTTACTTTGCATTTGAAATGTTTTTCCTAAGTATTTAATCCACAATTCAAAACTTTTACATTTTATCTTTATGCTTTGCATTCTCTGGAATACTTTCAAAATTAAAATAATTTCCCCACAGATGTAATATACCTTTAAATGTATTTGTTGGTTTTTTTGTTTGTTTGTTTTGTTTTTTTGAGTTGGAGTCTCACTCTGTCGCCCAGACTGGAGTGCAGTGGCCGCTCCCGGCCACCGCAGCCTCGACCTGCTGGGCTCCGGCGATCCTCTGCCTCAGTCTTCCAAGTAGCCGGAACTACAGGCATGCGCTACCACGCCCGGCTGATTTTTTTGATTTATTGTAGAGATGAGGTCTTGCTGCCCAGGCAGGTCTCAAACCCGCGGGATCAGACAATCCACTCACCTCAGCCTCCCAAAGGCGCGGGATTACAGGCTGAGCCACCGAGCCCGGCAATACCTTTAAATTTAAAAAATCCTTATTATGTAATAACAGAAGAGAAAAATAACAAAAAGAAAGCTATTAATTTATGAACACTTTACAAATTCTATGAGTCATTATGAAAAGTGAGCACACTTTTTTAAAGGTCAAAGAATATTAGATAAAACTTTTATTTTGAATGTGATTTAGAGGCATACAATCAAATTAAAGAAATTGAGCTTGATCAAAATTAACATAAAAACATAATACATTGTATTAAGAAACTCAAACAGATAAGTCACTTTCTAAAAAACTATTGTCATAATTTTTCCTATGGAATATTGGCATAGAATGTAAACTTATATTGTGCACATTTATAGAGTGATATTTACCACAAATGGTTAAAAGCAATGCCATTGGGTAGTCTAAATAAGATATACATACATAATTTAAAACAAATATTAGGGTTATTTTCTCTGAAAAGTTAGCTTGCAAATGAAAAGAAGAAACCCCAAACCGCATACTGTGATAGCTGTCCGCTTCAAAATTCTACTGTTCCAAGTGGACACTTCTTCCATTAATGGTATATGAGTTGGATCATTTTCCCGTTCATTTTGCAACTAATATTTAGTATGGAAAAAAAAGAGTTAAGGTATGTTGCACTGAAAATGAAAACAACTTTGAATTTAAGAAATACATCAAATTCATGTTCATTCACTTAATTTAGATGTAGACAATTCAAGAATCCCATGGAAGATTTAAAGTGAACACGACTTGAAAGATACTCTTTAGCTTACCAGAATATCATTATTGTCAATTAGCTTTATATTAAAAATACATACTTTCATATATTATCACATTTCAAAATGGTGTTTTTATGTCATGAGATAGTTTCTTAATTGTGAAAGTTTCTGTTTTAGCTATAAAAATGACAATTGATAATTATTTGCTTCTGACTAAATATCAATTAATATCTTACAAAAATATGAACCATTCTTATAGAAAATCTACAATAGTTGACATTTAGCAAAAACTAGAAGATCAGATTCTAATGGTAGAAGTTCAATAATTTATTTCAATATAATTTCAGTAACAAATTTCAACAAAAACTTAAGTGGTTTGTTCATCAATTCTCAGCAAATAAAGTATATTTCTAAATCCCCACAGATTGATATTTCTTCTAAAGAAGCTCCTTCTCCTACTTCCCACTGTGTGCACGTGTGTGTGTGTGTGTGTGTGTGTGTGTGTGTGTGTGTGTGTGTGTGTGTGTATGAGTGAGAGAGAGAGAACTGAGAGAGAGGGGACTGAGAAAGACAGGACTAAGAAAAAAGAATGAGATGGTTGCTGGGGGTGGGCAGGAGAGAGAGAATAAGCAGAGACCAAAGATTCTTAAAAGATAAAAAGAATCAGGCACATTTATAGAGTGATATTTACTAGAAACATCCTGTGTTGGAGTGGTGATATAAATACTTTCAACATTAGCAGGAATAATGACTTCTAAATTCTACAGTGTAAATATTTAATTAAAAAAGCCTGCAAAATTAATTTTAAATTTATAGCAGAAAAACAGACTCCAATGCTAGTCTCATTAATAGTGTATTCTGGGTCTGACTTCCAAATGGCTTCATTCAGCAACAGATTCCTTTTTGACACTGATGCTCCATTTACTGAATCCTGAGACAGTCATTCCTTTTATTAACCAATTACTTAGAATGACCCTTTCTGACAGGAGCCTGTCAGTATGTTGGTCTGAAAGAGAGTGATGTGGTGTTAAAGTCTAGCCTTGACCTCTCCCACCCTCTCTCTTTGTTACCTCCATACACTTATCTGTGATAACTCATATGTTTCTTTAAAAGAAATCCCCTTCAGTTATTATTGGTAAACTCCAAAATAATATAAACTTAACAGGCATGATAGTAAATTTCAAAATCTGGAAGGTTTCCTAGTTCCCTAAATCAAATCTCATTATGATTACTACTTGTGTAAGACTAATCTAGAAAAACCAAACCGCTAGCTTGCTCCAAAATTAAGACTTTCTTGCCTAGAGAACTGTGTCTCCCATTGTTATAGTCTAATAAATGTGTTTTCAAGGCTAGTCCTTATGTAGAAATGTATAAAATCTAGGTTGAGAAGGTCACAGAAAGAAGACCTAAATTAATGAAATAAAGATGAAAATTCTCTTTATAGGCATACATTATTAAAATAAATATTATGGTACCTAATTGGATTGTTTCTGCTTTAGAGTCAGTCTCTATAGAAAAGCTTTTTAATTTCATTCATTTAAGAAAAATCTGCTTATCTCTAATTTCATCTCAATTCTTCACCCACATCCCCTTCCTTCAACCCCATGTTGGAGAAACCAAATTAGTAAACAACCTTGAGGCAAAAATGTCTTAGGGAGTCACCTACATTAAATATTAAAGGTTGATGCTTTGCAAGAAGTACCTTCACACAAATCCTTCCAAATTTCCCTTGCATCCCCATGAAAAAACACCGTGCTAAGTCAAGTCAATTCCACTTTCCTTCCAATCTTCTAGATGACAGGGAGGTAGTGAAGATAAATGGTGCTATAATTTTTGGTACTGTCAGCAAGTTCAGGCTCTATCTAGCTTGTGTAGCACAAGTACCTGACATATAGCAGGCACTCTTGTGTTTGCTGAATGAATAACTGCCAGAGATAATACAACTTCCAAGATGATTTTTTTCCTTTGGAAATAAGTTATTTTTCTGTAAGAATTCTGAAACATTCCACATTTAAGTGCTCATTTCCACATTTAAAATCTTTTCCCAGCTATTATTTTATAGAATTTGCTTCACAACTTTCTTCTTACTTTATGTAAAAGACTTCTCTTGATCGAATATGTTAATAGCTAGAATGCATATTACCTGGAATATGTATAAAGTTTACATTGAGGAAATCACAGATAAAATATTAATAAAAATATTAAATGAGATAAAGCAATAAAAATTAATGTATAATTTAACCTTCAAGTCAGATATTTCACAAAAGCTTTAAAGACATCAAATTTATTTATTAAATAGACATGACAAACTCAGAAATGAGTTCTTTAGTTGACTGGGAGCGTTTTCTGTTATTCTCCCACCTTCAACAAAGATCCCTATTTCAGCAGGTTTTTTTTTTTTTTTTTTTGAGTTGGAGTCTCACTCCTTCACCCAGGTTGGCGTGCAGTGGTACCACAGTCACACTAGTATTGACCTTCTGGGCTCTAGTGATCCTTCCACTTCAGCCTTCCGAGTAGCCGGAACTACAGATGCGTGCCACCACGTGTAGCTATTTTATTTTATTGTGAAGATGAGGTCTCGCCAGGTTGCTCGGGCTGGTCTCAAACCCACGGGCTCAGGCAATCCACTTGCCTTTGCCTCCCAAAGTGCTGGGATTACAGACTGAGCCACCGAGCCCAGCCTAGTTTAGGTTTTCTTATAGCCAATTTTCTTAAAAAGGAAAAAACCACCTGTCTTTAAATTCAAATATATATTTCTTCTGTATGTGTGTAAAACACAGGAACAAAACATCTACATTCTTTAAAAAACAGTTAATTATAAAGTATAGAGAATTTGGACAAGTGAAAGAATATTTCACCCACAATCCTATCTCATTAGCAGAGCTGACAAATATTTCATTTTAATATTATTTCATCTACACATTTACACGCAAGCAATAATGAACAAATATAACCTCATACCTTTAACAGGTTAGTATTTGATTTTCATTATTTTTTCAACTGGCTGTGTATTATTATAACAAATAAGTATACCATAATTTATTACGTTAATCTCCTAATATATTAGGAGATATCAGTGGTACATTTACTTTTAAAATAAGCTGCTATCATTTCTCAACCAACTCATCTTTGACAAAGCCTCCAACAACAATCAATGGGGAGAGGAGAACCTATTTAGTAAATGGTGCTGGGAAAACTGGCTGATCACATGCAGAAGATTAAAACAGGACTCCTGCCTATCACCATACACAAAAACCAACTCTAAATGGATCAAAGACCTAAACGTAAAACCTCAAACTATTAGAATCTTAGAAAACGAAGGAGACATCCTTATGGAAATTGGAACTGGCAACCAATTCCTGATCAGAACCCTAAGTGTCCATACCATAAGAAATAAGACAGACAACTAGACCTCATCAAACTGATGAGCTTCTGCAAAGCAAAAGAAACTGTCAAGAGGGCAGGGATACAGCCCTCAGAATGGGAAAAAATACTTGCCAACTGTGTATCTGACAAAGGTCTAACATCTAGGATCTACAAGGAAATCATACGTGCCAAAAGGAAAAAAACAAACAGCCCCATTAAAAAGTGAGCAATGTCACACTCATCTAGAGTGTAGGTCTGCTTCCTGTCTGTGGAAAATGAACTTTTCTTAAATAAATCTTTTCTTCCTTCAAAAAAAAAAAAAGTGGGCAAAAGGCATGAATAGACACTTCTCAAAAGAAGATATAAGGGCAGCCAACAGACACATGAAAAAGAGTTCAGCCTCACTCAGCATCAGAGAAATGCAAATCAAAACCACATTGAGGTACCACCTAATCCCAGAAAGAATGGCCATCATTAATAAAACAAACAACAGCAGGTGCTGGTGAGGATGCAGAGAAAAAGGAATGCTTCTACACTGCTGGTGGGACTGCAAACCAGTACAACCTCTTTGGAAGATAGTATGGAGATTTCTGAAAGAACTAGAAATTGACCTTCAATATGATCCAGCAATTTTCCTATTGGGAATATACCTGGAGGAACTCAAATCATTCTACAAAAAAGATACCTACAGATGTATGTTGCAGCTCTATTCACAACAGCAAAAACATGGAACCAACCATGCTGCCCATCAAAGCTGGACTGGATTAAAAAAATGTGGTACATATACACAATGGAATATTATGCAGCCATAAAGAAGGACAAACATATGGACTTTGCAGCAACTTGGATGGATTTAGAGTTGATCATACTCAGTGATCTATCACAGGAACAAAGAACCGAGTGTCATATGTTCTGACTCATAAGCGGAGCTTGAACAATTATCATGATACTATAAGAAAGGGATTGGCAGTAGTGGGAAACTGCTAAGGGAGGGAAGGGCACACCTATTCAACAAGAGTAGCTGCATAATCAACGTTTGTATACTGAACCCTGAATTGTATCTCACATCTTTAAAATTAAAAAAAAAAAAAGCTGCTATTAAACAATACAAATATTTTTATGGTCCTTGGTATATCTTGCCAAACTGTTTTTTGAAAGGAGTTGTGTCACCAGTCTCACAAGAGATGGGTAGGAGGATAGAATTTTCCCTGCTAATTGCAAAGATAAAAATGAGATGTTGTTCTCTTGTATGCATTTCTTTAGGGACCAACAAAGTGTGTTTCCTATGTATATTTCTTTCTTTGGAAACTGTCCTTTTTCTATTTGTCTAAATGATCTATCAGAATTACTTTATTGTCTAACATCTTTGGCTATAAATAATTTCCCTTAGGTTTTCCCCTCCTTTTAAATGTTAAATATATACCTTCTGAATTAAGTCCTTTAGTTTGCAAACCTCTTCATTCAAATCTTCAACATTACTAACCAGTTCTTCACAAACTGAGGTAAAATTCTGGGGAGAAGCCCACTCCAGTACTATCTGTTAATATTTTCAAAAGTTACATTTTAAAGAATGGAAACAACTTTATATCCATGAAGATTATACAACATTCTTAAGCATAAAATTATATAATTAACAAACATTTTTTGTTCAGGATAAGTACTGATACCAAAAATAAGTAATTTTATAAAAATAGGTAAATCAATTTGCTGAATGCATTTCCTAAAAAAGTATATATATATATATATATATATATATATATATATATACATGACTTTCTATATGAAGATTAATATTAATCACATTTATGAACAAATCAATTCATGAAAACTTGTAAATGACTTAATTTCCACATTAACTAGTGTCTTATAAAAATAACAGGAAAACAAGTGCATTTAAAAATTTTCACTACAAATAACTAAAACCAATTCACATGAAAAGTCATAAAATAAGTTGCTTTTGTAGGTCACTTACACTTTTATTATTTACTAAAAAATCTTATGTTGATAACAGTTTCTTCATAACATGCAACACACTGTTTTGTTTTAACATTGTCTTAGCTCTTTTGTCACTTTATATTTTAAACAATTAAATCCCCTTTAAGAACAAATAGAAAAGCTGGGCTCGGTGGCTCAGCCTGTAATCCCGCGCCTTTGGGAGGCTGAGGTGAGTGGATTGCATGAGCCCACGGGTTTGAGACCCGCCTGGGTAGGTGAGACCTCATCTCTATAATAAAATCAAAAAATTAGCCGGGTGTGGTAGTGCGCGCCTGTAATTCTGGCTACTCAGAAAGCTGAGGCGGAAGGATCGCCAAAGTCCAGCAGGCAAGGCTGCAGTGGCCGGAAGTGGCCACTGCACTCCAGTCTGGGCGACAGAGTGAGACTCCAACTC